ATTTTTTTCTCAACCAGAGGAATCTTGGTTTCTTGCAGATTTGTCCATGATTTTTTTCAGTCATTTCTCCTTGATTTGCAGATCTGTTTTCATTGTTTCATTACATTTATTAACTGTGAATGGTTTAGTGATTGCTTTCACTTCTTTTTCCACGGTGCTCATTATGTCAATATATTCTGCGACTTGTTCTTCCCAAAATGTCAGCTTTCCTTTAAGGGCTTCATGAATTTTCAATGAAAATATAGGTTCCATTTTACTCTTGTGCAGCAGTGAGGTGTCCTTTTAACTGCTCAGTCTCTTCAGTATCAGGGGTGGCTTTATTCAGTATCAGGGGTGGCTTTATATGTTAGAGAGTCTCTTGACTCTGTTGAAGTTGAGGTCAGCAGTGACAAGGTTGAGTGCCTGTGGACCAGAATCATGGGGAAGGCCAACAAGGCTGACATCCTTGTGGGTGTCTGTTACAGACCGCCCAACCAGGATGATGAAGGAGATGAATTGTTCTACAAGCAGCTGGCAGATGTCTCAAAATCTCCAGCCCTTGTGCTCATGGGTGACTTTAACCTGCCGGATATCTGCTGGGAGCTTCATACTGCAGAGAAGAGGCAGTCAAGGAGGTTCCTGGAGTGTATAGAGGATAATTTCCTTCATCAACTGGTAAATGAGCCTACCAGGGGTAAGGCCCCACTAGACCTACTGTTTACAAACAGAGAGGGGCTGGTGGATGATGTAGTGGTTGGAGGCCGCCTGGGGCATAGTGACCACGAAATAATAGAATTTTCAATCCTCAGGGATGTAAGGAGAGCCATCATTAAAACTTCTACTCTGGACTTCCGGAGGGCAGATTTTGGCCTATTCAAAAAACTAATTCAGGGCATACCCTGGGAAACAACCCTTAAAGGCAAGGAGGTCCAGGAGGGATGGACATGCTTCAAACAGGCAATTTTGAGCGCACAGGAACAGGCTATTCCAGTGTGCCGAAAGGCCAGCCGGAGGGGAAGACGGCCGGCTTGGTTAAATAGGGAGGTTCTGAAAGAAATCAGGCATAAAAAGAAAGTTTACAGACTGTGGAAAAAAGGGCTGGCTACTTATGAAGAATTTACGAAGAGAGCTAGGTCATGCAGGAAAAAAAATTAGGGAAAGAAAAGTGGAATTTGAAGTTAATTTGGCTAATTCAGTTAGGGATAACAAAAAGTCCTTTTATAAATACATTAATAGCAAAAGAAGGGGCAAGGAAAACCTCAATTCTCTGTTGGACTTGGAGGGAAATATAGTTAACAAAGATAAGGAGAAGGCTGAGGTACTTAACACCTACTTTGCCTCAGTTTTTCGCAGTAAGACAGGTGGCCCTCAGAACAACTGGCCTCTAGAGCAGATAGACAGAGACAGAGAGCTGAATAGCCCTCCTGTATTCCAGGAGGATGTAGTTAGCAACTTACTGAGCCAGCTGGATCCTAACAAGTCTATGGGACCAGAGGGGATCCATCCCAGGGTGATGAGGGAGCTGGCAGAAGAGCTTGCCAAACCGCTCTCCATCATCTTCCAACAGTCCTGGCTCTCTGGGAAGGTCCCAGACGATTGCAGGTTGGCGAATGTCACCCCAATCCACAAAAAAGGCTGCAAGCAGGACCCTGGCAACTACAAGCCTGTCAGCCTGACCTCGGTGCCTGGCAGGGTTATGGAGCAGATCATCCTGAGTGCAATCACACAGCACCTTCAGGATGGACAAGGGATTAGACCCAGCCAGCATGGGTTTAGGAGAGGCAGGTCCTGTCTGACCAACCTGATCTCTTTTTACGATCAGGTGACCCACCTGGTGGATGAGGGGAAGGCTGTGGATGTGGTCTATCTAGACTTCAGCAAGGCCTTTGACACTGTCTCCCATAATAGACTCCTGGAAAAGCTGGTAGCCCATGGCTTGGACAAGTGTACCCTCTCCTGGATTAGGAGCTGGCTGGAGGGTCGGGCCCAGAGAGTGCTGGTGAATGGAGCTGCATCCAGCTGGCAGCCGGTCACCAGTGGTGTTCCCCAGGGGTCTGTGTTGGGTCCAGTCCTGTTTAACATCTTTATTGATGATTTAGATGAGGGGATTGAGTCCATCATCAGCAAATTTGCTGATGACACCAGATTGGGAGGGAGTGTCGACCTGCTGGAAGGCAGGAGGGCTCTGCAGAGGGATCTGGATAGACTTGAGAGATGGGCTGATTCCAATGGGATGAAGTTCAATAAAGCCAAGTGCTGGGTCCTGCACTTTGGCCACAACAACCCCTTGCAGCGCTACAGGCTGGGCACAGAGTGGCTGGAAAGCAGCCAGGCAGAAAGGGACCTGGGGGTACAAATTGACAGGAAGCTCAACATGAGCCAACAGTGTGCCCAGGTGGCCAAGAAGGCCAATGGGATCTTGTCCTGTATCAAAAATAGCGTGGCCAGCAGGAACAGGGAAGTGATCCTTCCCCTGTACTCTGCGTTGGTGAGGCCACACCTTGAGTATTGTGTTCAGTTCTGGGCCCCTCAGTTCAGGAAGGATATTGAGGTGCTGGAGTGGGTCCAGAGAAGAGCAACAAGGCTGGTGAAGGGACTGGAGCATAAGTCCTATGGGGAGAGGCTGAGGGAGCTGGGGTTGTTTAGCCTGGAGAAGAGGAGGCTCAGAGGTGACCTCATCACCATCTATAACTACCTGAAGGGAAGTTCTAGCCAGGTGGGGGTTGGTCTCTTCTCTCGGGCACTCAGCAATAGGACAAGGGGGCACGGGCTTAAGCTCCGCCAGGGGAAATTTAAGTTGGATATCAGGAGAAAATTCTTTACAGAGAGAGTAATCAGGCATTGGAATGGGCTGCCCAGAGAGGTGGTGGATTCACCATCCCTGGAGATTTTTAAGCGCAGATTGGACGTGGCACTGAGTGCCATGATCTAGTAAATGGACTGGATTTGGACCAAGGGTTGGACTCAATGATCTCGGAGGTCTTTTCCAACCCAATCAATTCTATGATTCTATGATTCTATGATCTTTTTCCAAGATTTGGTAGGCTTAATTTTTGTTGTGTACAGCTATTTCTTCTAAGCCTTTCCCATTTACACTTTATGAGTCTTGTTTATGGGATCATCAAAACATCTGCAGTGCTGGGAATAGGATTCAGAAGTTCAAAAAGCTCTTCATTATATATTTTCAGAAGAGAAAATTATACAAAGAAGAATAAAAATCAGTTTCAATCTGTGACTTTCTCTAATATTCAATACAATGTATTGCAAGACTCTTTTCAGTGGTGCCCAGTGACAGAATGAGGAGCAGTAGCCATAAATTAAAACACAAGAAGTTCCACCTCAACACGAGGAAAAACTTCATTACATTGAGGGTGGCAGAGCACTCAAATAGGCTGACTGGAGAGGTCATGGAGTCTTCCTCTCTGGAGACATTCAAAACCCAGTCAAACATGTTCCTGTGTAACCTGCTCTAGGTGACCCTGCCTTGGCAGGGGGAGAGGACTGGATGACCTCCAGAGGTCCCTTCTAACCTTAACAATTCTGTGATTCTTTGATTCTGTGTACCTGGAAGAAAATCTACTTCCCAAGCATGTTCTTCATTGGGGCTTCCCTGAAATTGTGAAGGTCTTTCCAATACCAGTTTGGCCATAAATGATCACTGTACAGTTGTACCTATAATAACTTCATTATCCAGAATATGACTACACTCCTGTACATATCAGTTGTCCATGACTCCTCCATACTCTATAATTTGTTTTCTTGCTTGAAAGTCTACAGTCTACAAAATAGGCACTTGCTCTAAATCCTAAGGCATTAAAAGGCCTGCACCACACCACCACCTGGATGTTCTTGCCCTTTGCATTCTTCATCTAACCACTTGCCTGAAGTGCAAGTAAGACTTGCTGGGTCTCAGGGCCAATCTGCCAGGGAAAGAGGCAAAGCACTGACTGCCCCATAATGCTTTTTCAGCCACTCGAGCTCCAGCCAACTGCCCTCTGCTCACGTTCTGCTCACCTCAGCCACCAGCACTGTGCATCCTGCAGTTCTGCACTCAAGCTCCAGCCAAGCTCCTAGTTACAGTGGCTCAGAAGTGTCTTAGGGAGACTCTATGCACTGCTTGTCATGTCCACACACTGTGCAGTGCAGCAAGGTGTGGATATGTTTAAGCTAACACTGATCAAAATAGCCATGGAATGAAAGGTACTGTAGCCACAACAATTTTGTGTTGCATGTGAGTTAAATGGCCCTGGTACGAAGCATTGGCCTTGTCTTTCTGACTCTGTTTTGGAACAGAAATGGGCCTCTGCCTGGTATTGCACTGCATCAGCACCAGACTGCTTGACACTTGACTTAGGGAAGGTTTGCATTACTACCCAAACCACTCCATATACTGCATCTGGCACCCACACTCTCTGAACCAATTTTCCAGTTGTTGCTGTCTGCTCTACAGATGAGGAATTGCGCTATTTCTAGATGTCTTTCATGGACACCTTAGAGCAGGGCAGCTCATGTCAGTAGGCTTAACTGAAGGCCCACACACTGAAAAATGTCTTAGGGAATTGTCATATAAGACAATATGAGGCTTGAACTCCTCTGATGTAAAATTTAACATGGAGCTATGTTGGAGATGAAAGCAGAGATTTTTGGAATCTATTGTTTTCTAGATTAACTGCACAGATCAGAAGACAGAACTGACTCCTAAGAAAATCTAGTAGCGAGAGGCAGACTGCTCAAAACTAAAGCTGCTCCGTTCAATTCTCAAAATGATATTTTCTCCTATATATTACAGCACTGTCCAGGTGCTCTGCCTTCAAACTTGGTTCTTTTTAAGGGCTCAACCAGGCCTTCTCCTTCCAGCCCTTCCGCAGGGCCGCGAACCCGGCGCTGGGAAGCTCGGCAGCTCTCACCTCCCGCGGGCACGGCGGGCTGCAGTGGCGGACCTCCAACACCTCGGGAGCGACCGACAGCCGACAGTGTGGTCCCGCGGCCCAACCCGCCTCCTCCTCCTCCGGCAGGTGCGGCCCTCCAGGGCCGCCGCTGCGCACTGGGCGGGGCGGGTAAGCTCCTCCTGCTCGGGCACCGGAGCGGCACAGCCGGGACGGCGGGTCTACGGAGCGGGAGCTGCTTCCCCCAGGCTCGTCCCGGCGCTGCCGTCGGAGCGGAGCGGAGCGGAGCGGAGTGGAGAGGCGGCGCCGCCACTGCCGTGCGCGGCCCCAGCACCTGCCGCGAGGTGAGCGAGCGGCCGGGCCCGAGGCGGCGCTTTGCCGCCCGTGTTACCTAACCAGGACCGGGGCGAGGGCGGGGGGCGGCCGCCGGTCGCGCCCCGCCGACCTGGTCGCTCAGCACCGCTGCCGTGGGGAAGGGGGGCTGTGATGGGGAAGGCAGGGGGCGAGTGTCCCCGTTGCCAGGGAGACGGGTCAAGCGGCAGCTCCGGCCGCCGGGGCGCCCCCGGGTACCGGCCGCGCTGCCGCCGGCCCTCGGCTCCGCGTGGGAAGCGGCGGGGAGCGCGGGGGGAGGGAGGATGACCCGGAGCCCGGAGGTGGCTCCGGGGCGCCGTGAGTCCCGCTTCCCGCGGGGTTATGTGGGGACGTGCTCCGGGCGCTCGGGTTGTGACGGCTCCATGAAACATGGCTCTGCCGCCTCGAGACGGGCGCTGGAACGCGTCTCGTTACTTGGTGCGAGCTGCGCTCTTCGTGTATCCGGACTTAAAGTTACTCGCTCGAGCGACAGAAACAAGCCTTTGCTCCTCTCGGGTGCTTACATATGCGAGAGCTCCCAGCTGGGAATGATCTAGTCCCCTTTATAGCTGGAACGTTAAATCTGCAGCTCTCGGAATTTAAAGGTGCTGCTCAGGTGGTTGTAGCATAGGGTGAAGAAAGATTTGATTCTCGGCACGAAATTCCCTGTTTGGTCAATATGGAGCATTTCTACCGAAAAGTCTCGGGTCCCTGCGATGCTGCAGGTTGCAAAGGGCTCGTTGCTGCCAGTTTCCCAGGCCATCGGTGGAGGGTGGATTCCAGCCCGTGGAGCGAGCCCGGCTCGCCTGTGCGGGCTCCGGCGGAGTCGGACTGACAGCTTATCCATAACTGTAACACCAAACAGTGGGAAGCAGCGTGCTTGGCATCAGGCACTGCAATGAAATGTGAAAGAAATGGAGTTACAGTTTAGGTCTTTGTACGGTGGGATAAACTGCAGACGTTGATCTCAGCAAAATAGCGTGACTACATTTTTTAAAGCTTGTTATAAATTTTTCCAGTTTTATATGGCTAGGAGAATATCTTACAAATGTTTCAGAAGCAAGTTGAGGTAAGTCTTATTTGCGTAAATGTTCATGGCAGCATTTGTTCAGTCGTGAAAAGATCAGGAGCAGACCCAGAGGCCAGAATCCTGTTAACTGTAGCGCATAGGGTAAAGCATTACTGTAGCCTTGCCAATTCCTGTTGATTCCAGGATCTGCCTGCATGAAGGAGTTGGCAGGGGTAAGACCACTGAGGCGCATTCAATAGTTTAGCGTTTTTGTCCAATAACAGTGTTTTCTGTTTAAGCAGATCCTACAGAAATCCAGTGATGTGCTGAATAAGTACAGATGCATAAAAATCCACCAATATACAGCTACTCAGTCACATCTCTTTGTGTTGTTCAAGTATACAGATGATCAAAGAAAAATTTTTACTGAATTTTGAAAGTATTCCCAAAAAACTCCTTTAATCTTTTGTCTGCTGTTCAGATTGTGAATAGTTTGACAGCATCTGTAAAGCACTTACAGTCATACCATAATGCAGTCATACCAATTAATGCCTCTTAAGCATAAGATTTTTTTTTTTAGATGCCTACAGTGTTTATAAATTTATTGTGTTTTATTTAACAAAAGTCCTTGTCACTTCCTGTATAAGCACGCCTGAAGAAATGTACATTTGGGCAGCCATTGAGTTGGCAGATGGGGGAAAATTGTACTCCTAATATTTCAAGGGGGTAAGAAGTTGCCTCAGGATTTCTTCAGAAATGGTCCAGTTTGATTGGCAGGCGTACCTTGCATTCAATTCCAAGCAAGAGCAAGTGCTTTTAAGGAAGGGAATTTTAATATGGAAACTGAGATTTCACACTTTGTAGCTCAGCGTGTTGTACAAACGACATAGAATATGAGATTAAGCACTGTCTTTACTGTTAGAAAACAATGTAATATTCTAAAACTAAAGATGACTATGCCGAAATTAAATTTCTGGATATATTTTTATGAAAGCAAGTTTGAAAGTGACTGAACTTCAAATTGGCCCTGAATAAATAGCGTAGAATATTGCCTCAGGCAGGAAACTTGAGATTCCCTGGGATTTTCTAGTGGAATTTTAGTCTTTCTTCCATTCTTCTTCTCTGTACGAAGGACATGAACAACTGTGATTGAGATGGAAACACCTGTTAAAAGTCTGTGCGTTGCTAAACATGCAAGTGAATTTGACTCAGCATTTGAGCTTGAACATAAAAAGAAATTTGAGTAACATCAAGGAAAGTGTTTTTTTTTTTCCTCTCTTTTTATTCAGAGGAGCAGTACATTTTGAGTTTACAGTAAGGAGAAGTATGGTTGGAAGATCAGTAGCAGATGGACATTTATGCTTGTATGGGTCATTTCTTCAGTGGGTACTTACATAGTAAAGTAAGCGTGATTTGACCAGAGAAAATGCTGTGTTCATTAAAAAAAAAAAAAAAAAGACTTTTTTGTTATCTCTATTTTTGATTCAGAAGGTGTTGCTTCTGCCTGAAAAGTCAGAAATTGATATAACGTAGCTTCTGACACTGATGATCAGCTTCTACAATGTAGCAAAAAGGAATGTATTCAATAAGAAATTCATGGCACTACTGTGGTGTTTTTGATCATCTCTGCTGACTGGAATATGATTAACTTAATGGCCAAGAATGACAGTAATTTAGTGCCACACTAGTATGGGGAAGTGATGATTATAAATTGAACTAGAAATGGGAATTGGATTAAATGAAAAATGAAATTAATTTAATCACTTGGGTGAGAACAGTTGACAGAGTTATCAGGAAAAACTGGCCAAACAAAAATATCATCCGCTGTAATTATGCTTTCCTACTGTAACCGCATAGTTGTCTCATTTTAATTCTTTTATTGTAAAGAAATTATCCTTCATATTTCTCATCCATCTAAGATTTTCATATGGTACTTGCCAGTGTATTCTGTGCTCTGAGGACTTCAATTACTCAAGAATTGATTGCAGGGAGCGTAGGGGAATCTTGTGTTCAAATTTTTGTATCTTTCTTCTTTGGAGATAGGGAAGAAGTGCCAAAAGGCTTAAAATTACAGAGATTTTCCCGAGCAATTAGTAAATTTTTAAAAACCTGATTTTTAATTTTTAACTGTTCCCCACAAAAAATTACTAACTGGTAGTGGTGGTATATCTCCTCAATTTCTTGAATTATCTGACATTTATACTTGATAGTGAAAGACATAGGATCCTTGACGTAGTGATTTCTAAATCTTCGCTTCTTTCTGTTCTGACTTAATTGACCTTTTGGTCACTTACGAGATAAAATGAGGTCTGCTCTTCTGTCATTCTGTATGCATACTGCATTGCAATAGTGTGTGCTTGTAAATGGGATGCTTTTATTTCCAAGAGATTTCTGAAATTTTACTGTCAAATTCTGATTACTAAAAATAAGTAATAAGTTGAAATTTTTCACAGGATCTTGTACACAATTTTTTTAATAAATTTTTGTTAAAACATTTTGGCTCATGTGTGGGTTTTACCCCTGAGTTTTTGGCTTTGAACAGTTTCTTCAATTTTAGAAGAAACACACTTAGGAGAGCATTTTTTGAGGGACATTCCTACTAAGTCTGAAGAAATTCCAGGGACAAGAGGCAACTCTAGGAGGTAGTTTCAAGAGAAGAAAGTGAAGCAATGATGTTGGCGTTTGGCAGCTTAAACTGGGATACCAGGAGATCTTTGAAACTCCTGGTTCTGGCTGCTCCCATGTGGACCAGCCATCCTGAATCTGCCTGATTTTTATAGAAAGGGAAATGTCTAATGTATGCCAGAAAAGAGCTGTAGCAGGTTCTGGCAGGTCTGGGTTCTAGGCCACAGTCTTTTGCCATTTCCATCTTTTGTGGGCTATTGATCTTTGGGCTATTAACTACTGAGTAACCTGGCCGAGTGGGATTGCAAAAATGTTTTGTCAAGATTTTATCAGACTTGTGTTTTAGTTGCACTTTTAACTGTGGAAAAACTAGGAAATAGCTTAGATTTGACTCTGAAGTCCATTACCAGACTTGCTGTGGACCTGCAATGTTTGACTTCTTTTCTAGGGAAGAAGTTTTGAACAGACAAGGTACCTGAACTAGAATATGTTTTGTGGTTCATGCTGTCGGGGGCAGCTAAGTCACTCAATGGGCAGATACCTTGTGGGAACTGGGGTAGTAGTAGGGGGTCTATACACCTACGTACATTTCTAAGCCTTCGAAATACGTTTCTCCTTTGTCTTGAGAAATGAAAGATGTAATTTCAAAAAGTGAAATTCCAGTAGTGAATGCCATGCAAATTCCAGTCACACTGATGCCTGTTTGAAGCTACTGACTTTGATATCAGCAGTTGGAGATTCCTCTGTGATGAGAAAGCAATAAAATATTTAAACAGTTATGAGTAAAATAAATCAGAGTCTTCCGAACGTCAATAATACGTGGGAATGCATAATTTTTCCCTAAGTTAGGTGACTACTCTGAACAGTTATGTAAATTGAGAATATTTTCTGCCAAAATTTCTGTAGCAATATGCTGCAGCAGTTTAGAAGAGCTGTAATTATAGGGAATGAGCTTTTTAGGGGGATAAATATTGTAAATATTTTGATTCATCAGTACTTGAAGGTTATGGTTGTTCTGAAGACTGGCTTTTGCTGCAACCATCTGTCTTTATTTTTCCTGACAGGAATGATATGTATAGTGGTGGGTTTTGACTGTATAGATGTTGTAATGCTACAGCCTAATTTATTGTTGGTTTTTCCTGAATGCTATGACTACATAGAATGCATCTTAAGATAATGTATTTTTCCCCTGATAGCCTGAACTTTAACATCTTCAAATTTTCCAACCCCTTGTGCCTCCAGAATAGCCTTTCATTCTACCCTTCAGTAAGAAACTGCTTGAAAAAAATTCTTAGCATCACTAGTTTGGATGACAGGGGGCTTTTGAAGGTGTCATATCCAAAAGTAATTTGAGGGCCA